CCCAAATACCGGAAGCAAACTGATGGAAGGCATTGTAGGCGGTCTGGACTTGATTGAACTCGGACGAACCGACGCCCTGCCAATCAAAGACAATCGACACGTTGAAGATGGTAATGTGCCGGAAGGGAGAGGCATTCCAATGGACAGTGAGAAGGCGCATCAATCGTTCGTCGGTGGTGAGAGGAACCGCGGGAGCGGGGAGAGCGGCAGCAGCGTCCCTGTAGGTCGGGGCGCTATTGTGGTCCTCTGCTCCATGTTCCTCACTGGTCCGCGCACACGGATTGTTGGCTTCCACGACGGCGGCAGCTGGAGCACTGGCTTCCTGTGTTCCGGTTGGGGTGCCGGCGATGACGTGGACGGCGTCAGACAGGATCACTTGTTGGCAAGGAGGAGTGGCATCGGAAGGTGGAGTTCGTTGGAAGGGTTGGGACCGACCCTTTGGTGCCGGGTCGGTTTGCATCGGGACAGAGGGAGACGGGCGCGAATTGTTGGCCTTCCCACCTTTTGGGTTCTCTGGAGTAGATGCAGGGCGCTTCTTAGACTTGGACTGAGCCTTGGATATTTTTGACTCTCTTTCTAGTCGCTCAAATTCCTCCACAATGAGAGGAAGAATGGCCGGGCCTGTCCAAGGATAAGCAAAGAATTCGGATGCCGCTAGCCACATCCAAGTCAACGGCTCGGCGCGTTGAACAATTAATGTTGGGTTGAACACGAGCGCGAATTCCCAAAAGCGAGGCGACTTTTTGTCAGTTTTGATAACACGTTGGGCTGTAGCGAGATCAAACACAACCGTGGGGCACTGGGTTGCGAGGCGAAGAAAGTACTCGCGAAGAGACCAGGAAGCTTCGTCGTCGTCGGCGTCTTTGAGGTCGCCAAGAGAAAACAGATTCTGCATGCTGGACCGAAGCTGGTGCATCGAACCACCAAGTGATGGGTTGTACACCTTCAAGCCAGACAGGATTAACGCAGCGATCTCGTCGTAAGAATGAGCATTGGCTTGGTCCGTACTGGCTTCAGCCCACCAGCCGGGGCATTTGGATATCGTAAAAAATAGTAATAGGATCTTATGTAATTATCCAAGAAAAGGCCAGTCTTGACCGAAGCTAGTTGGGATGAATAGCTTTCGCCGGAGCTTTGTCAGCGGCAAGACAAGTGGCAAGAGGCAAGAGATTGGTCTTTTCATTTTTGAATTTCAGCGATTTCGCCAAAATCGAGCTGGACACACAGATTGCGACTATTTTTGTTTTTGTAACGGTGTCATAGTCGCGTGTTTTTCGACAGTGATTGTGTCACAAATTCTTATATGATCGTCAGTTGGGCTCTGCATTTGTGAAAGAATGTAAAAGTTCAGCTTGAATAGTTGAGACTTGCCGAGCAGTTGGGCATTTTGCTTCAACATGACGAGGAAATAGGAGATTCTTCAGATTGGGGGCACGACTGTATGCAACAATAAGTCGTTTAATAGGAATGGGAGCTTTTTCAAAAATAGTAATAGGATCTTATGTAATTATCCAAGAAAAGGCCAGTCTTGACCGGCCTTTTCTTGGATAATTACATAAGATCCTATTACTATTTTTGAGGGTGGTGCTGACCGTGTGAAGGCAAGAGCGCGCGGGACAGTGTTCTTTGCCAGAGTTCCCAATATGGACGCCCGGGTCGTACCGTTCGAGGCCAGTTATATGGAGTCCGATAAGTGTCGTCGCGGAAACCGTTCCAGATGCATTGCCGGATATAGCGGCCATCAGCCGTAGTGATATCTGATACTGTGGCTACTTGCAGGAACATCCGGCACCAGTTAAGCCAGAGAAGGTCGTCCTGATCAACCTCAAGATCCATGAACAAGTCAATCAGGAGGGCGTCATGATGACACCTTAAAGATAGGGCCGGAGAGTCAAAGGCCACGTACATATCCAGAGATTCAAGTTCCTTCAAAAATAGTAATAGGATCTTATGTAATTATCCAAGAAAAGGCCAGTCTTGACCGAAGCTAATTGGGATGAATAGCTTTCGCCGGAGCTTCGTCAGCGGCAAGACAAGTGGCAAGAGGCAAGAGATTGGTCTTTTCATTTTTGAATTTCAGCGATTTCGCCAAAATCGAGCTGGACACACAGATTGCGACTATTTTTGTTTTTGTAACGGTGTCATAGTCGCGTGTTTTTCGACAGTGATTGTGTCACAAATTCAATCAACAACCATGATACGAATCAATTCACTCCGGTACGCGCTCTGATCCTCAATTAGACCCGGAGTCTGGCACCGAACAATAATACGTTCCTTGCCACCCTTACGTGGAAGCAATAATAATAACTGAGACATTAATCGTTAATATGCTACTCTATGGGCATTCGATTGCCGGTGAAATATTCGGCTGTAAAGGTCAAGTACTAGCGGTGAGTCAACAACAAGTTTGAACCATGTGAGGCATCTGTATTTTTGAACAGAAGTTGCTCAAGTCTCCCAAAGGGGTAAAGACTTCTCCCGCGACGTGGCGGGGTGAATTCGGGGCATGTAAGGTCCCGCAAAAAGTTGGTCAGGGTCCAGGGGAGAAAATAGTCCGCAGACTGCGGCGTTGTGCTTGCATGGAGCGACGGAAATCTCTGCGTTCCTGACAAAGCATATATATATATATATAACTGAATCATTAATTGGTATTTATGCTACTTCTAGAGTATCCAACTGCCGGTGTAATGCGGCTGTAGAGGCCAGGAACTAGGTTGCTTTTGGTCAACAAAGTTTGAACCACGTGGAGGCGTTCAATAGAGGAACGTTGCTCGCAAGTCGAAAGTGTCAAGGGACGATCGGCTCTCCCACGCGAGGTGGGGTGGAGAATATGTATGTGTTAGACTGGGGTACGTGTGGCTTGTGATGTACCGGTACCAGAATCACTTTTGGTAAATATGTAGACAAGTAAGTCAGGGGGCTGCTGGGCGGGGAGTAGGGTGGGTCAGCTCCCACATCAATCGTCGCCTGCCTGCAAGAGATCGTCTGATGTTGCGGCGGGCTTCGGAGATGACGAGGACCCATTCCTCCTTGTCCGCCAGGTGGAGTTGGAGGACGTCTACAAGGCGGGATCGACGGAGGACAGGGCGAAGGTTCAAAGATACTCATGTTGGCAAAGTTAGTCCCTGCCATTTTATCAAGATCCTCTTTCAGTTGGAAGGAGCTGGATAGGTAGGTTGGAAGTTGGCGGATGATCGGTTGGAGTTGTTGATCAAGCCATTTGCCAAGGCCATAGAGGAGGCTTCCAGAAACTGAAACAATGGGGCGGGTTTTCCAGGGACGTTTGTGAACTTTAGCCAAGACATAAAAGTAGCTATAAGGATCGCGGACTGCCTCAAGGCTGCGGGTCAGATATTTGTGATTATCATCACCCAGGTAACCACGGTATAGAGTAAGAAACTCAATGAGAGAGTCTCGAGTGCTCAAGGTGAATGTGGCTGCAGCCTCGGAAGACAAATGCTCATAAGTAGGCTGTAATAAGTGGTCAATAAGGCAGCGGCAGACGTAGGTTTCACGTTCCATTAGCACAGGCCCAAGATTTTTGTCAGAGTTGAGGACTACAAACTTTGGATGATTGCGTAGAGTAGTGAGCAGGTTTTGTTGAATGGGATTGAGATTGGAATGGACTTGTCGGCGGTGAAACATAGGAGTGAGTTGTTTGCGGAAAGCTTGAACTCGAGCTACAAATTCATTGTCAACAGTGTTTGCAGGTGGGCTCCAATCGCTGAAAATGTCACAAACATAGAGTTGTTTGTGGGACCACTCGTTGTCATTTTCATGGGCATAGTGAATTTTGATGCGAAAGTCTCTGTCAAAACGGTCTAGGATCGGAGAGAGATCATTGGTACCGGTAGTGTGTAGCGGGCTAGGACAGAATTTGAGTCCTAGCCCAAGAAGTGACTTTAAAAAGCGAGGAGGAGTTTCAGTGGTGCAAAGATTATGGCATGCTGCATTCAAAACTCGGGACTCAAGGATAGCAATAGGTAGAGAAAGGACGTGGTGTCGAAGGTTTATGCGATAGGATTGGGATGAGTCCGCGTATAAACCGTAACGATAGGTTAATATCGATCAAATGTTGTTGTTTAACTTCCTGAGTTCTTTTTGAAACGTTTTTTTCTCGGCTTTGATTTCTTTCTGGAGGCTGAATTGCGATTTGAGGAACCGTTGTCGGCATCGTCGGCTTTTGCGGCAGTTTTGGAACAAGGAGAGGAGCCTTTTTTATTTTTTTAGAGAGGCGCCAGGTTGAGTTTTCTTGTTGGCCCCTCGATTGGAGTTTTTTGCAAGCACTTGTTGAACTTGTTGGAGTTTTCGTTCCAGTTGTTTAGTTTGTTCAGCAACACTTTTATCAATGACATTTTTGACTGTGACAGGGTCATTGAGATCAAGGTCGGCGAGTGCCATTGCTGTATCCTGTGTCGCTTTTTCAGCAGTAGAAGCAGAGAGATAGGCCTTCACTTTCTTTGTGTTTTCAAGGAGAGCGATTTGCTTCAGATAAGTATCCCAGCTGGTGACAAAAACAGCTTGGGCAATTTGCAGGAACGAAATAACAGTTGGCGATGTGTCGTCAACTGCGTAGGTGCGATCTTTGGTAGGACGGTAAGCATCAGTAGGGGTGGTTGCGGTTGCTTGTTCCTGGGCAAAAGTGTGGATAAGATCGTAGAGTTTGTGCTTGGTTTGAAATTCGGAATGTTGAAGGAGGGAAGGTAAATCAGCTGTATCGGTATCAAGCACAAATTGGAAGATATCACTGTTGTGTCCCTCTTCCAGAGTTGGATCGAGCAAAGCAAGTGTAGTTGTGATGTCTACAATGCTTTTGGCCACCGATCATTCGGACGGCAGGGGTGTGAGCAGAGTTCGGAGGGATGTACAGGTGAAGATTCAGAGGCTTTTCATATAAGAATTTGTGACACAATCACTGTCGAAAAACACGCGACCATGACACCGTTACAAAAACAAAAATAGTCGCAATCTGTGTGTCCAGCTCGATTTTGGCGAAATCGCTGAAATTCAAAAATGAAAAGACCAATCTCTTGCCTTTTGCCACTTGTCTTGCCGCTGACGAAGCTCCGGCGAAAGCTATTCATCCCAACTAGCTTCGGTCAAGACTGGCCTTTTCTTGGATAATTACATAAGATCCTATTACTATTTTTGACCAAAGTGTTCCGCGGTGCGAGAGGACCAGGTGATAAATGCTTGGTTCCCAAAAACCTCCTGCCTCCAAGCCTTCTTGTAGAGCCGGTGAAACTTGGACACCTTGAGTTTCTTGGTGTACGCAACAAGCGGTCGTCCTTGCACTGCGCCGTCCTCGGCGGTTTTGGAAGGAGGGGGTTGCTTGCGTTGGCTCTTGGAAATCATGGTGTCAGGATTATCCTTGATGAAATCGGTCGACGAAGGAATGGTAGAGTTCGATCAAGCTTTGGCCATGGAGCCATCCTGGCCTTGGGCAACGTCGGATGGGAAGAGCGAACGGCCTTTCATTGCGCCATCCTCGGCGGTTTTTGAAGGGTATCGCTTGCTGCGGCGCTGGGGAGTTGTGATGGCAGGGTTGTCCTTGGTCAGAGCAATCGACGATTGAGTGGTCAAATTTGATCAGGTTTTTTCCTCAAGACCTCCCTGACCTTGGTCAGCTACAGTCATGATCGAATTCGGATCCTTCTCCGGCGGGTTGATGATGCTATTCTTCATGTTGGTGTAAATTTAGTTCTGGTTTCAACAACAACAACTGTTTTCCTTTACGTACGAAACGCGTAGGACTGGTACAGTTTTGTTTTGGAGAAGCGTGTGGAAGAATATTTTCCCTTGCACGAAAACTCAAATTTCCCAAAACTTTACTGGATGTTATGCAATCCAGAAAGGCCGGTACAAAACCCACGTACCGAACTCCCGCAGGATTCAGTATGGGATTTTCGTTGCGCTCAGACGTCTGATAGTCCAAGGGCACAATTCCATGTTTTCAGATTCCCTGCAAAACCGACTCATAGGAATCCCCCGAATAAACGGATCAAAACGGACATTTGTCCGTCTGTCCGATCGGACGTGTCGAACTGCTTCTATCAAGGATCAAGGAGTTTCCAATGAATGGTCTCCAAGAGAGCAATTTCAACACGCTCCTAACTCTGAAGATCAGAGTAGGAGAGACGTCCAAAAGCGTGATGTTCAGCTGGAACATCACATGAGCTGCACCCT